AGAATCTTGTTTATAATCCTTCTATGTTTCCATTGTCTCATCTACTCACATCTGTCCCTTACTAAGAACTTTAATAAAATCTGGCATTTTTCAGTTTGAAGTCTGGTTTGAGGAAGCTCTCTATAGGACAAGGTATAAGCAGAAACATTTGAAAGCTATGGCTGCCTTTGTATCCCATTACATTCCTGAAGTCAGCTGTAAATGTTTTTGACTGCCGTAAAGTTTGTTCGGTAACATGTGTTGAAGTTGCTGTCATGCGGCTGTTGCATTACCTCAACAGTTTGTACTTTGTATGTAGAGTGGACAGTTTTCCTCTTTGTAAAAAGTAGTGAGTTACTAAAAGTTGAGTCACTGATAAGTGTTCAGAACTTCACTGAGTTTCAAAAGTCTTGTTGCAAATCACAAAATAACTTTTCTGAAGTACCAAGCTTGTACAGTTTTCTACATTAGCTAAACTCAGTGTCAGATAAAATTACCTAATGATTTATGTCCTTTGTTTTTTTCCAGTAGAAGAAACGGAAAACCAAAGGCAATCAAATGCCTTTTATATACGTACTTCCTAAGGAAAAATCTGCTACGGTTTCTACTCTTGCCTTGGGAAACTGTGCCAGTTATACACCAGTCAGTTTTAATCTAGTGAGAACAGACAATGTTTTAGTTAACTGGAGAAATGCTTATTTGGCATCTGTGACAAGGAAACTGAAGTGCAGCTTGCAAAATTTGAATACATTTTTAAAAGAGAGTATTTGAAGGATAAGAATAATAAATCTCATAACATTGCCCTATAGTATGTGCTGCATTCTGAATGTTTTTTCTGCCTGTCTTCATTTCTGTAAATTTTAAATTTTATGTCAGGATGCTGTTTCAGTTAGCTCAGTTGGCACCTTGTTTAATTTTGAACTATGTGTAATAGTAGTACACTATTAGTATTTTTCTGATGTTGCTTTCAGGTGTTCATTTTTTTTTTTTTTCCTAAACAATCTAGCTGCAAGATGTGGCTATGATATGTCAGAACTTAAATAGAAGGGTATTTTTGTCCAGTTTTTGGTTTATGAATGTTTGGTTCTTTAGGTTATTTGTTGAGGTTCTGAGTGATTGTAAAATTAGCCCCTGTCTTTGCCCCCAAGCACCCACTAAAATTGTTAGTACTCCTCAGAAAAGATAATGTACTTAAATCATGTAATTCTCAGAGGCAAAAAAGAACAATACTCCTTATGGATAAGGATATCCAAATAGAAATGCCAGGAACCTGAATTTTTAAGGTTACTTTGTCATGTTGCTTATATTTAAATTTCCGGTCCCTGAATTCAGTGTGGCATGGCCATGTTAAAAACTAGAAGCAAAGCTTTCAGTTTAATTAACTATAAAATTATGAAAACAGTGAGTGACCAAACAAAAACCCCCCAGGTGATATAGCTTGTCTAGAATTTAATAGAAATCTGAGCAAATGAGTTTAGTACTTTAGAAGAGTATTTGGCTGTTGTAACTGTGTCCACTTGCAGTCCCCAGTCTTACTCACTGTATGTACTCTGATTTGCTCTACTGATTTATGTAGAGATAAATATAGATGTGGCAGGTGGGGCTGAGGTATTGTGAGAACTCATGAGATAGTGAGCTATACCTTTGCCAAATGTTATGCAAAATAAGATTATCTGTATTCTCTGATCTATTGATAAACTTAAGTTGAGATGGGACAGTAATGAGCCAAGATAGCAATAATTAATGCTGGCGTGTCACAGCGGTAACTGATGAAATATGAAGACTTCTGGAAATAGGTTTCCTAATGATAGTAGTTTTTCTTAAAGCCATGACTTAATTTAGTGGTATGTAATATGTGTTACCTAAAGATGCATCAATGAGCTTGAAGATTGTTTAAGTGTTAAGATGTTGCAAAACCAGAAGAAAACTCCATTTTGGTTGGTAAATGTTAATTGGAAACTGAACAGTCCTGTGTATGTATTCTTTTCTTTCTTGTTGCAGGATGAAGAAAAACATTAAACTGAACTTTTTAGTTGTCCACACGGTTAGGTATTTGTTTAATTTATGACCAATGTTTGTGAAGGTGTCTTTTAATCTGATTCTTACTGAATCACTAGGGTAGCTTTAAAGAAAGGAAATTATTTTCCCAGCTGAGAATAGCAGCATGGTACCCCCCTCCCCCCTCCCCAAGCTAAATGTAAAAAGTTCATTTTACAGGGGTTTGTTTTGTCCTCTGTAACAGAGAGAGCTCTTCTGCAACAGCTTTTTGTTGTGGGTGAAATTATGTATAATTTAAAGCCATCTCTAGTAGACATGTTTGTACCAGCATTTTGGAAGGTACATCCTGGTGGCTTCCTTTAGAGGAAGAGTTTTCATAAGAAGACATGTGGTGCCCTGCCTCTTTTTTTTTTTTTGGCCACATGGTAGTTAAGGTGCATGGCCATTACAGATTCACAATAACCTCGAGGCAGATGTTTTTGATCTTGAAAAACATTTAATATATTTTTTTTATATTTTTATATCTATATCTATATCTATATCTATATATATATATAAAAAATAATATCAGGAAAGAAACCGTCCCTCTGTGGCTTATGTTATACACAGGTTTATGGGTTTAAAACTGGTGTTTAAATGCTTTTAGTTGCACTTTGAGCTGTCATTGTGAAAGTTATGAAATGTGTAATGAGTTTTAAACTAATTAAATACCTGCAAATACTCTTCTATTTCATAGTGGAGCAATCATACCTAAATTTAAGATTAAATTTCTGCATCTAGTTCATTAGTATTCCAAGAACTGTAAATGGTGAAAAAAGGGAGGCTTATCTGGTCAAAAGATTTAAAATTGTGATCAAAATGACCTTGTTGTTCTAAAAGCTATGGTTCACTTGCAACAGGTTAGTCTTCCTGGCCATAGCTTTTAAATATAGGGTTTTGTTTTGCTAGGAGTGTCCAGAATCATCTTTCTTTGTGATTGTTTTTTGTATACCGTGGAAAAGTCACATCTTTTGACAAGTTATATGATAAATTAGCAACAAGTTTCTTGAGAAACTCTCTGGAGCATGTTTTCCAGACTGCTATTCAGTCATGCAGTTATTTTCTTAATCTGTTTGTAGAAGTCTGGCAACAGAATTGTTGTGATTACCTAATATTTTAAGTTTTGTTTCTATCTAAAATTGGATTTTAATCCAGTATTGAAAGTCTAGTTCTCTTTCTGTGGTTTTCTTTCTCCACTGTTAGCTCATGAGTTTCCAGATCACATTTTCTAATTGCATTTGAACGTGCTTTTGAGAATGCAAAGATAAATTATTTTAGAAAAATACTAAGACCAAATTTATGGATGGGAATAATAAAAGAGAATCTAATTTCCCTGTAAAATATGTGGTAAAGATGTATGCTTTTACAGATATCTTGATAATGGCTGTTTTGCTTCTAGAGACTATAAATACTCAGAATGGGATGATACATATTTTTTGGATTTGAGCAGTAGGCTAAGAAATAACATTTATAGCAATGTAACAGTGTGAAAAATATTTGGATATTGTGCTTAATTGAAATGTAAATCCATTTAATTTTAAATAACTAGAACAGAATTCCTGGCTGTCCCTGATCCTTGACAATGCTTCATTTATTATATTATCCAGGAGTGCATGTACTGTCATGGGTGATGCTGATAGTTCTCAAAAACTGGTCCATCAGCTCAGAAAATGTAGATTTAAAAAAAAAAAATATTTATTCTAGGAGTAATAAAACTAATTTTAAAAACAGGCATCTGAATCTTAGTTCATTTTTCATACAGCTTGGATTTATGTAGTTGTGCTTGTAAGAAAATATAGTTATTTTACTTCATCTTAGATGGGACTTTCTGCATGGAAAAGAATGCCAGAAAAGGCCATTTTGAGCAACTGTATATTTAAATAGTATTCAGAAGTTGAAGTTCTTCAGTAAGACCATATTTTTGAAAGTACTTTGAGATCTCTTCTAATATGCCTTCAAAACTTTGAACATTTGAAAAACTGTGTACAAATTAGAAGCTCAAAAATAGATTTGATTTTTTACGTGGAAACTGAGGAACATGTTTAGTTGCGAATCTGCACAAATCCACTCTTAGAAGTACGGTTTACTTAAATGGTGTAGTATCAAAGACGTATGTTGTTCTCAGCTGAAAGAAACAAGTGTTTTGTGATGCATAAAAAAAGAATATCAATAAAGAATTGTTTATGGCTTCCTGTTTTTTATGTTGCCCCACTTTTTAAAAAAAGTTATTTTGGCTAAGAGTTGTATTATTGTTTTATAACAATGCTTGTGTATCCCTTGCTAGCTGAAGCCAGTCTTATTTACTGTAAGGCTTTACTTGGATGTAGAAGAATGGCTTCTAAACTGAGGATGGAAAAAAGATTTATTTCCTAATACTGTGGTACAGCAAGAAGTGTGAGATAAATGACAACATGTAGTCTTGTTTTAAAGGGGTAGGCTGTGCTATTGTTTTTTACACTTAGATTTGACATTACTTACAGCAATGTATGATGACAGGGCTGTAGAAATGTGGCTGTAGAGAACATTTTTGTTACTGTTTTTGCACACCTCTGCAAAAACAGCAAGAATCTGAGTTATCTCTGTTCAGTGCAAATGTATAGGTAGATAGAGTCCCTTTGCTTGAAATCTTAATTTAAAAATCTAGTTTCAAAGTGGTAGCAATTAATTTTGGAGCAGGGCTGGTAGAACGTTTAGAGCACAGTAATAACATCCCATGGCTCTCAGCATGTTTCAGTGCAGATCCAAATCTAAGTGAATATATTTTGTATAATTAGTTTGGTATTTAGGAAAAAAGGTGTCTGGAGTTACAGGTTTACATTCTCTTTGAGGTTATGAAGAAAACAATGTTTTTATCTCTCACTTCTGGACAGTAAAATCGTGTCTGAGAGTCATGTTTGACCCAGCTCCGTACAGCCCTTTAATTGTCTGATTAATTATTTTGGTGAAGACATTGTTTGAGACTCAACTCTTCCCCCCCCCCCTAGTTATTTCCACTTAGCACTGTCGGGCAGGGAGAAAGGACACTTCACATATTTACAGGTACTATGGAAAAATGACATACTCTATCTGCCTTGTTAATGTAAAACAGTCAACACGTGGTGATGAGCCTCATCTCCATCTTGATATGTATGGGAATATTTATATTCTGGTCACATTCTTAGTAAGCATTCAGAGTGTTAGAATTACCAGTGAGTGTGTAGTTTGGCCATGATTTGGCTTTGCAATCTATGCCCATCAGTTCATGTTTAGGGGCCAAATCTACAAAACTATCTTGCAGGCTCCTTTTAAGATTAGAAAAATACCTGTTACCCTTGATTTAGTAAAAAATCACTGTCTGCTATTTAGTAAGCCTTACCTAAGGCTTACCACTGTAAGATGCATCTATACAGATCTGTGTTTTCATGCAGCTGTGGCTTTTGAGAGTTATCATGCAAATTATCTGACGTCACTCATTTCTTTGTGTGCATTGCAGTAAATGAGCTGTGATGAGATGGTTACTGTCAAATGTAACCTGTAACTGTGATGGTGGCATGGAAGTTCCAAAAAAACAGAGGCAGAGGGAAATAAATGGAAGGAGTATAGTTCTGACACAGTTTTTCCTAACCTGTTCTGCCAGAAGGCTTCAAGACCTTGTGGAGTTCTGCACAAATATAACTTGTTTCCACTGAACCCTTGAAAGAATATTTAAAAATAGGTCAAATACTGTTTCCTTGCTTTAAAAGTTATATATCTCTTGCTATTTATGAAACCATAAGCAACCTTGAGAACAAATGAACTGATCTGGGTGCCTGAAAATATGCAGTCATGATAATAGAGGTTTTTATTTGGACAGCCACAAATACAATTTTTCTTTCTGTTATTACAAGCTGACATTATTTTCTATTTGAAGCTTATCATGAAGCACATGGGTGTTTTGCCTTCTTTTTCTCTGCTTATTCTTATTGCTTAATAAATGTCTGAAATTCTTTAAAAAAAAGGGAGGAGGAAAAAAAAGAAACTATTTTGCCTCTGTGTGCCTATGCAGGTAATGTAAAGCAGTTTTGGTGGCTGCAATTTGATTCTGTCACTTAAGGAAGTAGAACTTTACCTTCATCAAATTTATTTCACATTAGTTTCATGCTTACTTTCAGAAATAAATGTCTGTTGATCTTCATATATGTGTACTAGTTTGGCTTTATTTGGGCAAAAGTTTGTTGGTGATCTAGATGAAATGGCTTTGGGACTGAAGAATTTTACCTCCGTACATTTGCTGTGCAACTGTGATTTAGCAAAAAAACTGCTAGTTATTTTTTGATGTAAACATGTAGTGGATGCAGTCTTGTATCTTGTCTTACATAGTTTTGTTCCTGGTCAGGATGGGAAAAAAAAAATGCAACTCTGGCATGATTGAGGATTAGAAAAAGGAAGAGTCATTGCTCCCATGAGAAATGTAACATGCATTTGTCATTGCTGGTAACTTCTCATTTGGATTTTCTGAGCACTTGTGAAAAGTGGCTTTTTACTGTACAGTTTACTCTGATTTTTGCAGTTAGTGTCAAGATCCTTTCTACCCTAAGCTCATGTCAAACTTAGGTTTCAATTCTCAGCTTTGAAAATAATCTTATATGTGACTTCAAAATGAAAGGGATGCTGTATTTCAGAGCTGGGTTGCTTTTGGCAAATGTATTTCAAAGCCAGGTGTCTGGTGTCCATAGCAACCTGTGAAGAGGGAGGAGAGGCTGGACCCAGACAGACATACAAATAAGAATTTGGAATTTGTTAAGTGAGAAAAGCGCTTGACATTGAAGAAAGTAGCGGATCTGAGATGAGAGGCAACAGTGGACTGATTAAGGAGGCAAAGGTCTTAAATGAGAAGTGGATTGATGCATTTATGCCTAATAGAGCATACTAATCTTAAAAGACCCTGAAATAACACCCCAAAATTGTAGCAAAATGTTGGTGAGAATTGCTTTCAGTTTTCCCATTTTCCTTTGTCTGATGGTATGTGGAGCAGATAAGAATGTTTCCGTGCTGCTGTTTCTTCCATTAGTTCATGGAAAATATTTGTGCATCTCTTTTAATTTCTAGACTTAAGTGTATATATATATATATATTGCATAATCTCATGTCATATTTCTCTTCCTCTCTACTGTGTTCTCCCATGAGATCCTTATTTACTGCATAATTTGAGTAACTCTTGCGGAAGATGGAAGAGCTGAGTGACTGAGATAAGACTGTATGAAGAAAGTGTGTGGTTCCATGTAGGAGTTTTAAAATTCTGCTCTGGAGCATAGGTCTGTTTCCTTAGGAAAGTTTTGAGAACTCATAAATTTGCCTGTGTGTACATCTAATGCAGTAGAACATAAAATATTGTAATGACTGTATAAATTTATGGGAGATTACAATAAAATTAGGTATGCCTTTTATCTTGTATACTGTACACACTGGCTGTCCTACTGTTTCAGAAAAAGAGTGTGTAACTGGAAAGGGTAGAGAGCAGGACAGGATGGCTGGCCGGAGGATGGCTTTTCTGTAGGAAATAGTTGACTGGAGTAAGATACTTTAGTTTTGATTAAAGGTACCTGAAGGAAGATACAATACAGGCATCAAAATTAGAACTAATGTGAAAGGTGAGGATGGCTGTTTGTTTACTGCCTTGTATAATTAAAAATCTTTGGATACCAAATATAATTAGCAGGATCAGGCTGAAATGAAAGGATGTATCTTGTACTTGGATGCATAACTAAGCTGTGGAAGTCATTGCTTCTAGGTGCTAAAAATTTACACAGAATCAGAAGTAATAATCATGGAAGAAGATTTGATGAACAGCTTTAAATCTGATTCCATATATAACTCCAGAAGTTCCTGATTGAAAAATCACTGAATATTTGGAGAAAATGGTTTATAAATATTGCTTTTAAGTGATGTATGCTCATTCTGGTTTTATGTTCGTTGTTTACCATCCTAGTGATAGTTGCTAATAGCCACAGATAAAATGCTGGATCAGATGGATTGGTCTCACATGTGGTGGTTATTAGCATGTACTAGTTATGATGGTGAGTGCTTTTAAAAAGCAGCAGAAGGAACCTGGTAATTCTGTATTCAGAGAACTGTTTCGATAATGTATGGTATATTTAAAAAAGGAAGCCACACATGAAGGAGAAAACAAGCATTAAGAACTGCTTATAGAGACCCTTTTATTAGGTATGTTCAAGGAATGTAACCAGATTTTCATGGAACTAAATTTAATGTCTGGTCATAGCATGAGCTGATTTTTTTTTTTTTTTTTTTTTTTTTTTTTTTTTTTTTTTTTTTTTTCTTTAAGAAGTGGGCAGCTGACTTAAGACTGAATGTTTTATGAGTTGCAGCTTACGGTCCAGTGAACATTCTTAGTTTGTTTTTTAACAAAAAAGGTATAAATTTATATGCCAACTGTTCCTTTCCATGTAAAATATTTGCTCTGTGCTATTGGTTGTGTAGAGACTTGGTCATCTGGCCTTAGCTAACTCTTAATACTTTTGTAGCAATGCTGTAGAATAAATTTTTTTCTTGAAGAAAATAAAAGAAAAGCATGCATCAGCATTGCATTCAAGTGTTTCGCTATATAAACACTGTCTAGTGCATATGTTTTTAACAAGTGGACATCACATAATCTTAGAGTTGATTTGATCTTAAATTCCGTGGAACAGTACTTCTAAATTCTGTTGGGTGTTTTATGATGTTTTACCAAATCAGTCCTTTGTTGATATCAGGTAAATATAAAATGACATCCCTTTATTTTGTGATGTTCCTTCACCTCTTTTTTTTTTTTTTTTTCTCCCAAGCTGCATAAAAATGTCATAGTTGTTTCCTCTGTGTAAAGTGAATGTATTGTGAAGTGTAGCCTGTGACTAATCGCCTCTTGCTGTCTCTGCTTATTAACTGTCTGATGGTGATGTGGCTGCACCACTTTCTACACATGGCCTCAAGGATATGGCATTGTGACACCCGTATTAAAAATATGCAAGTCTTGATTTCAAAAGACATTTTGGGCTGGAAAGTTAGAGAGGTTATAGTCTAATATTGTGGCTGCCTTTTAGCCCTTTATTTAAATGGGTATTAGGTGGTAATAGAATAAGGTGTACCTATTTTGTGTTTATACATTCTCATATACAATTGTTGACCAGTTTTGTTGAATGTTATCCTACAGTTAAAGCAGTTTGGTTAAAAAAAAAAAAAAAAAAAAAAAAGGCAAGCTGAACCGTGTTCCAAAAATGCATTTAAAGTTTGTTAAGTATCAGTGTTTTACAAGTCACTCAGTGCAGTAGTCCCAGATTAAAATATTATGATGACACATTGGCTTTTCAAGTTGCATGCACATTTATCTTTCTAAACAATACAACAAAATGAAATGCGCGCTGGACTGGTAATCAGTTATTGACAAATGTGTAACTTACAGCTTATCAGAGAGACAGTAACTATGTGAATGCTTTAACTATTCATTGATATTTTAGTAGCTGTGAAATAGTTCTGTTGTGAAAATATTTTCTCTGGTCTTTATCTTTAAGTAAAGATACTCCCTATTTCTTTCTCCCTTCTGCTTCCCAATGAAACCCCAAATGTTGTTTTACAAAATGAGATGTAATTTAGTTTAGGAACACAAACTTCTTGTGGCTTTGTTTCATTCTCGTCATGATAATTTAAAAAGAGAAACAGGAAACTCAAGGTGGTTTCTCTATAAGGTTTCCTAAAATAATGAATGGATCACCAAAACTTTGTGGGTAAATTTCTGAAACCTCAGATAACTCAAGGCCTAAAGCTTAGAGTGGTGAGCACTATCTCCTTTGACAACTGTAAATTTTTAAGTCATCCAAGTGAATGTGTATGAAGTTATTGGTCATTTAAATCTGTAGTTTGTAGGTAGAATCTAGCAAACTAGTTGGAGTTTGTTTAATTGGAACAAAGTATGTAGTGTAATATTTTACTAATGAAAATACTTGGTTCTTCACTGAAATTATTTTACGCATGTGCATGTTTTATGGCTATACAGGTGTTTAATAATGCTTCCTCTTTAGCAATCTGTAAAATAATTTTTTTTTCAAAATGTTATTTTTTTAGGTTCTTGTAAGAAGAAACAGGAAACTTTTCTCAAGCTGAAGACAAACTAAAGGAAAACTGTATCATGTGTTAGGATACTGAAGAGTGATATTTCTTGGATTAGTATATTTCTGGATTGCAAAGCAAAAGAAAGAGGCTGAAAATGGGGAGAAAGAAAATACAGATCACAAGAATAATGGATGAACGGAACAGACAGGTGAGAAACAAGGTGTCTGCATGAACAAGTTAATCAGTAATCCTAAAAATGAATGTAAACTTTTAATATAGTCATCTTAATTCACTCTTCTAAAGCTGAGCTTTGTCTTCATGTATCTACAGATCGCATTACCAGAATACAAATAAGAAATATGTCTCAGTGGTTTTACTACTGTTTGAGGGGAAAATTGTTATTTATAAATAATATCAATTACTACTTTAAATCAAATTCACTGTAAAACTACTTAATGGTACCCTAGTCTGTACTTCAAGCAGAGTGGAGGATCATGTTAAAACAGACACCTTACTTGATTTGATAGCTACCAGGAACACACAGTAATGAAGATAAAAGACGAGAAATTCAGAAAAGATGTAGTAAAAGCATTTGCTACAGCCTTTTTGTGAGAGGAGTTTGTCACAGCTATGGGCAATGATCTACAGTGGTTTGATATAGCAATGTGTTAACATGAATCTGTTTAAAAACTTTGATTTATATTTCTTCTAGGAGCTGTTTGCTACAACAGTCTTTAAAAACAGTCAGTCAAATGGGAGGAGTACTCCAAGTGCACTGTTTCAGGAGGAGCTGCTTACTTGGCTGCTCTTGCCCTAATGAAGGGGTGTCCCGTGAACCTGAAAAGTACCAAAAGTTGATGACTGTAGAACTAGTGTTTCCTCTTAACTTCTAAATTGCTACATGAGATATGAAACAAAATTTTAACTGGATATTGAAATGTATAGTGGGGTATCTGGAAGCTACCATTTGTAAGGAGAAGTATTGTAGGAACGATTTATAATCTTTAAGAATAGTCTTAGTGGGTCAGACCAGAGATGCCACTAGGCCAGTATTTTTTTGTCCAGTGATGGTTATTAGTGTAAGTGTAGGATGGAGATGCACATGTTACGCTACTCTCTAATCCTCTTCCAGCTTCTAACTATTCTTAGCTCAGGGATTTCCTGAGCTGGATGTGGTTTCCGTATATTTAGTAACCATTAATGGATTTTTTTTGTGGTTTTCCCCGCCCCCGCCAGTGAACTTGTTCAGTTATCCTTTGAGCCCTTATAAAGTTGCAGCATTTACAAACATCTTTTGTCTAGGATTTCCTATAGATCTGATTACCTGTTGTTTCAAGAAACACCTTTTCATGTACCTGTTGTCATGGTTCTGCTAGTTACTTAGCTCCTGTATGGAAGAGGCAAGCAGTCACTTCTTACCTAGTCTGTCCATCTTGCTTGTTATTCTGTGGACCCCTGCCATGTTTTCTTATTTTCTTTTAAAATACTTAAGGCTGAAGCACTCTAGCTTATTTAGACGTTTTAATATTTATTCCATACTTTTGACCATTTTTGCTGTTTTTCCCTAAACCTTCTTGAGTATTGCTACATTATTTTTGGTGGCAAAGGGACCCAGAACTGCACAGTGTTCAAAATGCATGCAAACCATGGACTTACATAGTGGTGTACTGATGTTTGCTCTCTGTTCTCTTTCTAGTATTTGATTTTCTTTCTTAACTTCTGAGCACCAGCTTGACAGTGTCAGAATTCTGTGGGACTGTCCTGCTGCTGGCACGTCAGCTCAGAGCCCATTGTTTTGTTTGTGAAATCAGGATTGTTTTTTCTCCCTGTATCACTTTAAAGCAATGTAAACTCTGAGAAGACTATATATAGCAAGAAAAGTATTATTGGAGTTTGGGAGAAAGCCAAGTATTGTGTTTGAACAGCTTTAATCACACAGTGATTGTGTGTTTGATATAGATAAATGTCTTCAGTACCCCTAGTAGAAGTAGATGAATTAATAACTTCAGTTCTTTCAGATTTTGCTCTAGAACTTCAGGCATGTTGAAGAGGTGGAAATTGATATCCCCTCTCCCCCCCATTTTTAATCTTATTTGCAGTAAGTTGGACAACCTTGGTTTTGTTCTACTTGAAACAGAAATAGTGTTATACCCTTACTTTGGTGTGGTGGTGGTTTTTTCAGGGGAGTTGTGTTTTGGTGTTTTGTTTTGTTTTTTTTTTTTGATTCCCCATCTCATTGTTTGGGTTGGAACAATGGAGAGGAGAAGTATTACTGCATTTGTATCAGATTTTAGCCCATTTGTATCATTGCTGTGTCTGAAGTGAACTATGGGGATTAACTTCTAGGTTTTGTTTCTGGCTGTTTTATGGCTAGCACATTTAGGGGCTTTTTAGTGAATAGGAAGAGGCTTTAAGATCCAATTTAAAAATGGAATTAGGCTTGCCTTATCCGTTTTATGTGGAAGCTCAGAGGTGATAACATACTGCATTTTGGTTTTGAAAAGGTTTTAAAGAGATTAAATAGGTTTTGTTAGCGGAGCCAAATTTTTTATGTGTAGAGGTATTGATGGTGTTCTTTAACCCCACTGGTGTCCTGTGGGTTTGGTAGCTAGTATATAGAGTTTTAACAAACTGAAATGCCCTGATGCACTGGATATTATTAGGTATTAATTTACTTCAGAGATTTTTTTTTTTTTTTTTTCATTGACCTAGATAAGGGGGGCATTTAGGGTTTGTTTTGCCGAACAGAAAGCGTTAGTTCAGTTCTGTTCTCTCAGTTTTTCTGTGGCATATGCAGCTGGTTAGTAGGTCACTATGAACATGCATATGATGTTCTCTGTAGATGTTTAGTATAATCTTTAGGGGTTTTTGTTTGAAAATACGAGTAGAATGAGGTAGAGCTTTGCCGGCAGAGCAAGTTTATATAACTTACATGGCAAAGAAAAGCTATTGTTTTATCAGAAGCATCTTATTTCTGATGGGATTGTATGTGAGCTCAAACCAGAATATATAGACCATTACTCTGGGGGATTACAATAGTCATGAGACTGTCATTGTATTATTAATTAAGCAGTCTTATCTGCTTGAATGAGCTGTAGGACATTTATCTTCATTAAGCTGAAGAGAATAAAGTACAGTAAATTAGATATCAAAGGAACTCAATCTTGCTGCCTTTGCTCTCTCCTCGCCCATTTTTTGCTAACCAATATTAGAATAGTGCTGAGGAAGCCATTGGCCTGCAATAAAGATACATATTTTTGTTTTTACTGTGGTCCTAAATGGCAAGGGAAAAAAAAAGATAAATTAGATAAATTTGCAGAATTAATATTCTGCTTTCTGAGTTACTGAATGAAAACTGATTTTATAATAGCCTGTTTGCATTAAAATAAGGCTTGGACTGCAGTGGTAGCGGAGTTTGTGCTAAGCACTGTCCAAACACAAAGTGAGAAATGGGTGCTAGCTGAGAATCTCACAAGTAAAATATCTCACAAGTGAAGTAGCCTTACAAGAGGCAAGAAGAATACTGTTTCAGTAGAGACATTAACATCCCTTGCCCAGGATCACATGGTTCCTCAGTGAAACTAAAGCTTTCAGTCTTTTCATTTAATGACTTCTCAAAATATTGTAGCGCACACATATCTTGTTAATGGCAAAAACTAAAGAATAGTACCTGTCTATACCTGTACATGTTCAGGTAATAATCTCTTTAAGTGTCTTGTAATTGAAATATTGGAAGAACAATGGCTATTTAAAAAAACTCTGTTTCCCAGGCAGGATTCAGAAAAAGTAATTCTTAGTGTCCCATCCAGGATAGGATAAATAAATCCCACATGTTATGAAAGAAGGCATGTGTAAAGTGACAGAACTTCTAGGAGACTTATACAACATCTGTTTTTAAAAAGTGTCTGTATTGTCTTAGATGTGGATAGAAATCTCCAACTGCATTTAGAAAAAAATATAGCCCAGTAAAACCTACATGTGTACTTGGTCAGCTTGTTGAAATGGTAACCGAAAATAAAATACTAACAGAAGATGCATTAAGGTAAAGTCTGTCCTTTTTTTTTTTTTTTTTTTTTTTTTTTTTTTTTTTTGGGCATCTTTTCTCACTAATGTATTGTAATTGTTAAACAAAGTAGGTAAAAAGATTTGCTTACCCTAGTTGAACTGTGAATGTGTTACAGCACTCTTACATAAAATTGTTTCAGAGATAGTGCTGAATCTTAATGGAGCTTCTCACCAAACGTGCTTTGAAAGGGTTGAATAAAAAAGTTATGGTAAGTACTCGTTTTTCATCTGAACACAGATTATTCAAGCCTCACAAAAGGCTCTGTGATTAGTGGTCTTTAAACCTAAAAAGTTCTTGTTAGAAACACTGCAAAGGAACTTAGGTGAAACTATGGTTATCATAAAACACCTGGCATTCCATATTCTCATCTTTTTAGGTCTCTGTTTATTGCCTCTATTCCTACTTTGTCTAAGTGTTAACAATCTGGGTTTACAAAAATCATAGGCATAGTGCATTTTTGGGAGTAGGGGGCACATGTTAAAAATGGTTGGGTTTTTTTAGGGTTGTTTTGTTAGGGTCTTTTTTGATGCACATGGATACGGTTTTATAGTGGGAAAGGAATGTCAGGTCCACAGTACTTTTGCAGACATTGGTGGCAGAAGAGCAAAATATGCATATACTGTTTTAATAATACAGTTGTTTTCAGCATGCTGTGTACACAGTGTTGTTAGTGTATCAGTCTGCATCATTCTGAGACTATTTATGTGGTGGGAAGGATAGTATGTATTTTGTGTTATGGATAGTATTAGAAAAAGTAATATGCACATCTGGAAAAAAATGCCTTGAGGTGTGTATACACAGAATTTTCCAATCCATCTTCCAAAAACTTGATGTAATTAACATGTTAAACTATAGAAACCCATAAAACAGTTTTGATCGTTTCTTGTGTTTTACCTCATTCCTATCTTGTGAGAGTATACTGATTATTGTCCGTTAAACATATAGGGCATGTAGGTCACTTGCTTGTCACAGAAGCGTATACTTGAATTGTACTATGGGGGTGTGATGGCCCTAGACAGAGGTATTCCGTTTGGTACTGAAGCTCAGATTGAAAGGCTAGATCAAAAAATAGCATATTTATTTGAAAGGTCTCAGAACATGATTTCATAGTGGTAGATTAAGTATCTTTTTGAGACACTTAAAGAGAACGTTTAGTAAAAATACTGTCCTTGAGCAAAAATACTGTCCTTTAAGAAAAGTTGGCCTTAGCATCAGGCCTGTGTTGATTCAACTTGATGTCTTATTGTGATAATACATAGATACTCTTATATCTTTAATTGAAATCTTGTGAAAGGAATGATTTTTAAAAAACTTTTTGTGTAGTTGATAGTGATTTTTATAGCTATTTTCCTCCCTTCGCATAGGCAAATGCTTCTTTGTGGTGGTCTGTAATGGATTTATCTTCCTTCATCAGTTATAATTGGACAGAATGATTGTTTCATGCTGTTCCCAAGTGGCAGAAAATAGCCTAAAAATATAAGTGAATCTGATTAGATGGTTTAATAGCAACAAAATAAGAATGTTTCTTAGCTTTGTGTAATTAGAATCATATTACATAGTAACAGTGTTGCTTCCACTAATACTGCTGTTTGCTTTAATTTTATTAGAATTAAGGTTATGAGTAGCATGTAAACTAGTTACAGACTAACTGATCACCGCCAAAGAAAATATTGAAAGTCCGTGTCAGTTGAACAGAGGATCCTACAAACTTTAACTCTCCATGGTAGTTATGTACCAGTGGAGAGCTGGGGGGGTGTAACAGATTAGCTTAGTCTCATATAGAGCATTGACCCTAAAAATGACACCCAAATATGACAGGCAATTCTGTTAACTGAACATGTGTACAAGTTTACGTTGCTTGTTAGTAGGAATAAATAGTGTAGACTCAGTTTGTGTATTCCTTGAATTCTTGATAATAGTCCTTCAAACCCTTGTCATGTGTCTAAAAAAGAAATAAATCATTATTCTTTCTTCTCTAGGTCACCTTTACAAAGAGGAAGTTTGGATTAATGAAGAAGGCATATGAGTTGAGTGTACTCTGTGACTGTGAAATAGCACTCATCATTTTTAACAGCTCTAACAAACTCTTTCAGTATGCCAGCACTGATATGGACAAAGTTCTTCTTAAATACACAGAATACAACGAGCCCCATGAAAGCAGAACCAACTCAGATATCGTTGAGGTAACAATTTGAAAAGACACGTCAGTTTTCTTGTCTCGTTAATACTTCAAATATGAGCAATATTATAATATTTTAAGATATTTTAACCAAATGTATTTAACTTGAAAACCTTGTCATAAAATGTCGACTACTGCTTTTAGTCTGGTTTCTCTAAGGCACTAAGTCATCTTTACAGCCATGTTGTTTTCCCATCTGCCCTCCACCCTCTGCCAGTTTCTGGGAAACGTGTTTGATTTCAACCACATTTGGCAATGGAAATAGAGGTGTGAAAGACGGTTGTTTTTCTGGGGGAGAGAGGGGGCGAAGTGTTCAAGGTTTTAATGTAAAAAATCAATTGGATGGAGAATAAGGTCCAAAGAGTGCCCTCAGCCAAACAAACAATTATGCTTGGCCCCTGTTCTGAGGTAGTAGCTACTTTACCAGTCAAATGTTGCACACACATTGAATAACCCACAGCCTGTGCTGCCCCTTGTTCAGCCAAAAAAGCCAACAAAAAAAGTGAATCTGTGGAGCAGATGAAGTTAATTAAATTTGTTGTCCAGTCACTCTGTATGTCAGTAAAAACATAGCAGTAGAGTGACTGCAGTTTCTGCAGTAATAGAATAGGTTGAATATATTTACTCAAAGGTATTGGTTTAATCTATTATTATTATGCTTGTGCTTTAAATAGAAACTCTTTCCAGTACATAATTTCTAAAGTAGGTGTAGTAGAAATCAAGTATTTTCTTGGCAATTCGAGCCTTTTTGTACTGTAACTGCATTTCAGATAAATCATGTCTCCAGTAGTCCTGTAAATAGACTAAAACAGGTGGCTGACTTAAGTGTTTAATTTAAATTCTGAAGTTGTCTTCTGAACAAATGCTTTGCTTTTTAGGAATGATTTAGGAATAGTGATTAGCCTCATATAGCTGGAGAGTGTATTGCCAAGGGGATCACAGAGTACAGGGAGGATACTAGCTGATTTTGTAAATAAGTTTTCAAGAAAAAAACAGATTGACAAAGCTGGGAAATAGACCGATGCCTTGTATTTCTTTCTGAGAAGATTCCCTGCTAATTTGTCAACTTCCTCTTACGATCAGAGAGAAAACCTCCCCAACTTCTGTCTTCAGCACTGAGTACTAATGAGAGGGATAATGCAAGCTTTGAAGAGTTGAAGGATATTACTTAGTCACTTGATTAGTGAAAATAAGGGATAGCCACTGTAGAGTAAGGGAAAACCTAATTCTTTCTGGATGAGCTTTTGATTGTGCCAGATGTGAATTTGAGATAGGGAAACAAGCAAGTCAGTTAGCCAGGCTGAGTTTTTTGTTCTGCATCTGAGGCCTCTTTTGTGTTATGACTTCTGTAGTAGTGCTTCTTCACATCATGAGGACTAAGAACCTTTTCCAAAAGAATTTCTATGCAAAGCTACCTTTTTTTTTTTTTTTTTTTTTTTTGGTGGTGGGTGTGTGTCAAGCATTTGACCCCAGTCAACTGCATAAAAAAACCTACAGGTAGTACTCACATGCACGTATGGTTTCTACTGGGGGAACATGCAAGGACTCATCTACAGATTCTTACTAATTTTCCTCTGTAGATTTACTGTATTATAGTACTGTGGGATTTGGGACTTTAGTCTCATTTTTCAAACAGTATAATTTAGGAGTGCATCTCCCAGTCTCTTCAGATTAGCCCCATGTCTGAGAAGTTTTTGGTTTTTTTTTTTTTTATTTGGGAAAAAGTTATTTAACCAAAGAGGGGAGTGTATACTTTTTTGCAGGGAAAATATATGCTTTTATGGCTGTATTCTGGATGGAAAGGTTAAATCGGTAGGATGAAATATTTACAAGCTTGATATATGTATGATAGAGCAGTGTTTTCTCTGTGTTGGATTCCAGGGGGGGAAAAAAAAAGTGTACAGTATTTCAGAGAGGTACTCTGCAGTTCCATTTTTTGCAACTGACTGCATTTCAGATTTGCTCCACCTGTATGGTAACTTTGTAGTCTATTAGTTATTGGTTTTTAGGCAATTAAGAGATACCATTCGTGGTTGGGTTTGGATGGTTTGCTTCCCACTGTAAGTAAATAATGTCTTTAACTTAAAAAAAACATTCATTTTCAGTGGAAAATGGTCTACTTTTTTGCATTACAAGAGAGCCGAATTGGTTCGGTAGAGAATATGACGTGCTTTGGAGCAGATACACTGACAGGGACCGCATAGGTAGGGAGGGACATGGGAGAAGAGATGACGTGGGGGAGAATGAGACTCCTGTATTTTAGGCAGTAGCAAGCTGCCAGAAGCTTATTGTTTCATGTAATGTCACCACTGATGGATGTTTGTGGCATGATAGAGGTGAAGTTATGGTACCAGCATTTTGGAAATGTTCTGAAAGAACAACGTAAAATGTCTTCTCTTCATTTACCCTATGTAGAAATATTATTTCAACAAGTAAAAGTTACTGACCCCCCCTTCGTCTAAAATCTGTCAAATTATATACTAAACCAGTTTAGAAAAAGTAATTCCGTTTTATGGAGTTATAGCTAATGTTACTAATCTTAGTTAACATTTTAGTAATTCACTTGCCTGCTTGAATTTGTATTTACTGTGATGCAAGCTCATCATGAAACTAGTCTTGACCCACTGTGGTCCTGGTACACATGACAGGAGTTTTTGTCTCTTTGGTTTGTTTTTTGTTTATGTTAGAAGGAAAGCTTATTCTACTCAGCTTGGAAGCTGTATAAGGGAAGAAACCAGTCTACTGTTACTTTCCATACTGGATAGATGGCAATGGTGTAAATGATTAAGTGAAGTTGAGATGTCTTCCCCTTGTAGTTGTCTCCTGTTCAATTTTGGCATAGGAATTGCTTTTATATGCCCAGAGCTTGGTATCTTGTGTTGCTACTGGAACGTCTGTGTGAAAACATAGCAGGAGGGAGAGCATTGGCATTTTAAATGAATACTGGAATTTTTCTTGATATATACCCTTATGTCTTTCACTGTACGTGCTATTGTAGTTGTGAATGCTCTGTTGCTGTCCTGTACCTGTTATTTTCTAAACTTTGTCCCTTTTTTGTTTTTTGTTGGTTCCATTTTTCTTTTATATTTCTGTTAATATTTCCTTGTTCTCCTCCCCCTTTTTTTCCTTCCATTCAACTTCTGAACAGTTCACCTATCAATAAATTGTGGCTTTACTTATTCTTACCATTGGGATTTTGTCATCATAATTTTTTTTTCTTTCATAGCTACTTGGTAACTATTAACTAATACCGGTGTAAAGAATATGTTTTTTCAACCATCTGGGCAGAATTATAGACTTTTGAATAGCTGGAATTGAAAGTTAAAGAATTTTGTTTTAGTATGAGCTTAGTTTTCTAACTATCAGTAGTATACTGGGGGATGGTCTGTTTCCTGCCATTTGGTACTCTTAAAATTAAAGGAGAAGATCTTGTAACAGATGTCCTGTAACCAGTTTTAAAGGATATTTTGTGTGGCATTTTTGAGCTGAGATTCAACCTTGTTGATCTTTGACATTTTGCAGTTTGAATCTTGTTTTACAGCATTGGGGAAAAAGAGGTGAATAGGGAAAACAGGATTGATTGAAACACTCAAGCTTCAGAACATACACAGGTCTGTGAAATTTCCTTGCTTATCAGATCAGGCACAATTGGTCTAATGTTTTTTTTAGATTTATTTCTGTATCCCTCTGAAATATGGAAGCTGAACACATCTGATGTGAGGACAGTGAAACTTTGCTTATGATTGCTGATCTCCTGACCTTTTTGTAAAGGGCATTTATTCAAGAGGTAGTGAGTGTAATGTTTCCTTGAAGCCGCATGAGAAGAAAAACATATCTTCTGTTGAAATTCCACAATAGCTTTTTCATACGAGTTCAGAAATCTAAATTAGTATTCAAAAAAATTCTTTGATGTTTCTTGCTCTTGGACAATATGGTCCCTTCTCACATCAGATGGGAGAGGGTTTGTACAATAAGGTTTCATTTGTCTTATTTTTTTCAGAGTTGAGTGAAAGCTAGTGCTCTTGCACAGGTTAGATGGACCATATAGGGATATTGAAAAAAGTGAAATTCTCATTCAGTGTGTGTTTTGAATTTTTGAAGCATTAGGATCATATATTTAGTTTCACAAAGCCATAATGGCATAGTTGAAGATGGTTACACTGAATCTATCATTTGAAGGACTTGCCGTAGGTGTTACAGCATTTGATGCTTTAATGTTCATGAACTTCTTTTCTGTAACACATTATTCTTGGCAAGTAACTACTTTTCCTGAAAAAAAAATAAATGTAGCAGAGTACTTCTGCAGAGTAAAATGGGAAGAATTTCAGGTTTTATCAGAATTCTGTATCCATATGGTCAACAAAATGTTTTAATGTATAAAAGACAATTTGAGACCTTGAGCATTTATCCTTTTTTATCCAGAGGAAGTGAACAGGCCCTCACACTCAATCTTCTTTAGTACTGTAAGGTGTGTTAAGATTAGTAGATTATCTACAGGGTAACACTTCCATGTTGGGCCTTTCTATCCCTCAGGAGTACCTCAGAAAGCAGCAGTTGTTCCTTCTCTTCCAGCCTCTCTTTCTGTGAGTCAGAGGCTGAAAACGGGATCATCTTGCCCGTTTAGCTCAACTTTTTAATCTCTCTTCCACATTTTGATGTTCCTTGAATAATACAGCAAAACAGGGTTTATTTCACCTACAATTGGCTGTGGATGGGTTGTGCGTGTTCCATTGTATCACCTCATCAAACTGAGGTGATTTGATTTTTTAGGAGCCTGTTTGAAATGTGACCTACTTTGCTGGTTGGCATCTGTGCCCATGAGAATTTCGGATGGGTGTCTGTTAATGAGCCTCTTCTGTGCTGTATAGTTTAATGGTGTTTTCAGTATAATATAATGTGTTGTATAAGGCTTAGGTTATACCCCAAATATTGACAGCTGTCCTTGAAATATGCAATAATCTGTAACATTAAATTTTATATAATTAAAAAGTATATATAAAAAAA